GGAAGAGAAGAGAAGAGAAGAGAAGAGAAGAGAAGAGAAGAGAAGAGAAGAGAAGAGAAGAGAAGAGAAGAGAAGAGAAGAGAAGAGAAGAGAAGAGAAGAGAAAAGAGAAGAGAGGGAAGAGAGAGAAAGATCTCCAATTCCTCAACCTGAATGTAACTGCACCTGTTAGCCTAGAAAAAAAATTGAGAGTAATTCAGAAAACCAAATTCAAATTTTGGTAGAGTAATCTTTCTTTTCAAAAGAACTGAGAGTAATTCAGAAAACCTCTCAGTCACTGTTTTGGTATATTTCATCACTACGCAATAGAATCCTGCTGTGTGTACCATACTACCTTTCAAAAATCTGAAAACCTAGACTTTGAAGTGCATCTGGTCCCGAGGGTTTTGATAAGGATAACAGGCTGGTCTGTGTTTCCATTGTGAATTTGTTTTTATTTTATAGAATTACTGAGCATAGCATAGTTAAAGTAAGCACAGTGGTCTATAACAGCTAACACAGATCTCATGTTTGAGACAATGTGACAAATGCCATCCTAAAACAGGCCTTCTGTAGTGATTGCTCATAGACAACAAATGTAATAAATCCTTGATTCAGTACATGTTTGAATTATGTCCATATCACTCATATGTATTTTAAGTGTTTGAAGTAGCTGAAATGTAATGAATTTCTATAGAAAAATATTTCTGGAGATTTTCTGATTCCCGACATCAAAAGCTGTGCAACCAACGTTCTTCAGTGGTAAGATGAAAAGGTCTGGTTTAAAAATAAGTGAAAGAGTGTTGAGTCTTATTTGTTAAAGAAGTTCACAGTGTGTAAGCATCACAGCTGTGGGAGGTACATATTATAAATCTTAGCATTCCCAAGCCAAATCAGTGCATTCAAAAGCAATAAATAAATAAACAAATAAATAAAAATAAATCTACAAAGCAAATGAAATAAAAATAAAATACAAAGTGGTAGCTATTTCCACTTTAAAATAATCCTTTCTTGTTTTGTGTTTTACCTTCTCCTTGATCCATGCATTATATCCAGGAGGACTTAATCCCATATTCACAATGCTAGCTATTAGCAACGTTAGGAGCATTAAAGGAGAAATGTATTTCCACATATAATAGTAATATTTGCTTGGAGCAAATCCTAACATATCTGTTAGGTCTTCTAGAAACCTGGGTAAAAAGAAAATGTTTAAAATTATTCTTCCATCTTATTTCATTGTCTTAATAACTGGATGGAACTCTATATTTATACATTTTAGTAAGTTTTGGACTGATCACAGCTTCAAGGAATACAGGGATAGCTCTGTGAACTAAGAGCCTACCATTCAAGCGTGTGGGCGAAGTTCAGATTCCAGCAATCCCATAGAAAGCCAAGGCACAGGAATATGCATCTCAACCTCAGTGACAAGGAAATAAAAACTACCAAATCCCATGGGCTTAATTGTCAGCTGGTCCAGCTGACATACCAACCCCCTAGATTAGTGAGAGATTCTTTCCGGAATAAATAAATAGATATTAATTAATAATGTGGATAGCAATAAAAATAGGAGAACCCAATGATAACCTCCGACTTCAACAAGCACAAGAACAGACATGCTCACCTTCAATATGTGCATAAATACAACTATGCACAAATTTATAATAAAAGATGATTTATATATTGAGTACTTACAAAATAAAATGAAGCTATTATTGTGGGTAATGCAAATCTTTGGCCGATTACTGAAGTGTACAATGGATGATTATCTACTTTATGATTGCAAAATGTTATGTTAATCATCTTCATTATCATTTTACAAAAACAGTAATGATTCTGTGATATCATTAAATACCACCAATGAATATGTATATATTTTGGGAATTTTCACTGTTTTTATAGTAGTGTCATTTTTGAAAGAATGTTCTCACTTTGCAGTCCATTGACATATCTCTCAAGCCAATGTCATTCTTCAAGTTCCTCCCCTATATTTTGTATTTTCCAAGGATTGTCTCTTTATTTTGTCCTATAATCTCCCAGTGGCAACTGTATGAGGCCATCTCTACTTTCTTCTTCACAAAACCACCTGTTTCTCTTACTATTCACAAATTAGCCATAAAAGCAGAATTGTGGTCAGATTTACTTTTTTAGGTTTTGTCTGGTTATTGTGGCATCATTTATAAGGGAAACAAAGTCAGCCTTTTAGGTATACAGCACTAGTACTCTAACAGTATACAGCCACTGTAAGGTAGTCACCTTCCTTTATGCTTAGAGAAAAGAGAAATCCTGAGGCAACCAAGATGACTAAGTGGGTAAAGGGTCTGGCCATCAATGGCCTAAATTCGGTCTCCAGAAGCCACATAGTTGATGGAGACACCAAGTACTTGAAAATGATGCCCTGGACCCCATGGGTGCACTGCAGTATATTTTTACACACACACACACACACACACACACACACACACTCACAAATATAATGAAGTGGTAAACACATAGATGAATGTAAGTGAGTCTTAATTGTCACCCACTAGTTCTTGTACTGACATTTCTTACAGATTTTCTAGGAATCTAACTTCAGATCTCTGGTGAATTCTACAGTGAGATCATAATAGTCTTACTTACGTTTTTTGACAACAGTAATTGTCAACAGTCGCTAGACTCAAATGTCAGTTTAGCCAAGTAAAAAATTAGTTTTTCTTTGTTATAAACATATCTAGCTTTCAAATAATATTTGGAAACATATTTGTTGACAAGCATATTTTCATTAGAAATTATTTTGCTTTATCGAACTAAAGTTTTGCTTTGCTATGATCCTCAGTATACTTTCTAGTACTAAAGTCTTAGAGATCTGGTATCAGCTGTTGCATCTGCTTATGAAGAACTCTGTGTGCCTTTCGACAATCACATAATCAGTTATTTTGGATCAGTTTCATCAGTATAGCTTTTGTATTTATATATATATATATGTATATAATATATTAATATATATAATATATATTACACATATCTATATAAATATATAAATAAATATTAAAGAAAAATATATATTATATATGCAATATATCATATATATTAATATCTATATTCTATAACTATATTATAAAAGAGCAACTTATATATCAAAAACCACATATACATTTGATATATATTTATATATCAAATATATACATATATATCAATTTTGTAAAAATATTAAACTTTTATATTTTTGTAAAATATATAAAAATAAAAATTATTTTCTGTTGTCATATGATCAACCACTGTGCTTTCTTTTTTGTTCCTTTTATTTTGAGCCTCATTTATGATATGTGTGCATTTTGTGCACAATTATATCCTGACTTACAATACTCCTGGTTTTAAATATATTTATTTCTCTATCCTATTTTTGAATATTTAAATAATCCAAGTTTTCATCCTTTTGAAGTATCTGTCAGCTCTAAATCTTCATTTGAGTGTCTTATGAAATATTTTTAGTTTTTTATTCTTTGCTGTTTCTCATTCCTTTATTTTCTTTATTTGGAAATGACTTGCTACCCATGAGACTTGAGTATACTTAAATAAATTCATTTTTATGAATTTTCAAGAGTGATGAATAAGGACACTTCCATGTTGGCGTTGTAATGGCTCAGACCTATGGGTTCTGGGCTCCTCCTCTCATGTATCTCTTCTTTCTTCTGATGCTGTCCCTGAGTATGTCTATCCTACGAAATTAATTGTCTCCTCCTCATTTTCTCCTCAGAGTAGAGTTTACTTTGGAAGGGAACATTGCTTTGTTTATTTTTCTGAGATCACTTCATTCCCTCACTCTCGTCTTGATGTTTGAGCTCTTTGCAGTCCTTACAGTGAGGGATGGAATCCAGGACACAGCATCCTTTGCTGCAATGAACTATAGATATTAAAGAAGATGCTAGAAACATGGCTTTATATTCTACACTGTCCTCTCCAACATATGGGACACCACATAGGTCTTGAGGTAGACAGTGGCTTTGTCTCAATCTTTTATGAAGATTCATGAAGGTATCTTTTTCCTAGAGGCTGTACATCTTTGATTTCACTGTTATAGACAATGAAGAAATAAAAAGAAAAAAGAATAATTCAACAAAGAACTGTGCTGCCATCATTTCCAGATTTCTAGGATATTCCTTTTACATTTGCTTTCACATTTACTGATATTTGCTATGTTCCTATGCTTTAGTATTTTCTTTTTCTGTTCTAAACTATTTGGTATCTCAAAAGTTCATATTTTAGATTATCTACTATTAATTGTGTACTGTCTTCTAACTATACAAATGGAGATTCAGGTAAAAGTACATGAAGTTACTGAGCTCCTGAAATCACAAATCACTGGAGATGAGCAGACAGCATTCAAAGCTGCTCCAAGATGTGAAAGGAAAACTAATTAAATGGGAAAATTCTTGTGTGAGAACTCTATACCAGAGCCTAAGATAAAATGTGATATTTGAAATCAACATTTGTTATTTATTATTTCAAATGACAATTCTGCTCTCTCTTAACACACATCTTTTTCTCTCTGAACTTTACTTTTGGTACTTCAATAAATACTGTATCTACCTTCAAAGAACTGATAAAATCCTAAATGGCATGTGCAGCATACACTATTTCATGTACAATAGGTATTCAACAAATGTAGCTCTTGTCCACATTATTTTTCCTTCTGTTGTTACTATTGTTTAGGAACACTACTATAAAAAATGATATCCCCTAACAAAACTTCTGGCAAATAATGAATATTTAAATGCAAATCTAAATTGATAATCTATTGTTTGAGAGAGCAGTCTCATAACAATATCAGATTCTAGCAAAATGAAAGTTAAGAGTCAGTGGCTTTCTTATAACACATTTTTATATACTTTTAATTTTTAAAACAATTTTATGTTCATAAAAAACAATGAACTGAAGGTGCTGAATCCAATATATCTCTCTAACCCCAACTCATGAATCATGTTTCTTTTTATCAACATCCTATACATGATTTGCATATATGCTAGAACTGATGAATCTTGATTGACATAACATTTTTATCTACTTCCCATAGCTCGTTTGAGAAGTAAATATTTGTATTGTACATTCTGTGGGTCTGGACAAAACCGAAACAACATATATATCCATTATTGTAATATCGGTTAAAAGCATACTTTGAGCTCATCTATACATCTGTCCCTACCTCCAACTGTTGTCAAAGGCTGCTCTTGATTCTAAATAAGTCGTCTACAATAAATTGGCATCTGACAAGATGAAGTATTATCAAATACAGATTCTATCTCTTAGCAATTCATATATATTTTTACAACATTATTTTCATGGCTTTGTGAGAATTTATCTAGGATTGAATCATATTTGATTCTCTAGATGGATGATTTATTTCATTCATCTGTTGAAAGACATCTTGACTGTTTGCAGCTTTTGATCCTTGTGAGTAAAGCTGCTATGAACATTCATGTACAAATTTTCTTATCTGGAATATGTTGTCAACTCCTCTTAGTAAATATCACACTGTGCACCTGACATATCATATGATAAGAGTATCTTTATTTTATCACAAGCTGTAAGAGTGTTTTCTGAAGTGTTTGAACTATTTTATAGCTCCAACAGAGCTCCAACAGCAATTAATGAGTGTTCCTTTTAGTCTACATTCTCAGCAACGTTTTTGTGCTCTTGGTGTTCTGAATGTCTTCCATTCTAGCAAATGTATTACGATATCTCATTACTATCTTAATTTGAGGGTTTGGTATGTATATAAATAAACATGGTGTGCATGTATGCATATATGTTTACATATCTGTATACACGTGTGTGTGTGTGTGTGTGTGTGTGTGTTTGTCTCAGGTGTTGACACTGTGTGTCTTTCTCAATCATTATATATTCAGCAGTGTCTTTTTCATTAAATTTTATTGATTTGGCTAGCCAGCTTACTCAAGATCTCCACCTCTCTTTGCCTTGTGAAGGGATTATGGGCACGCCATCACACCCAACTACATTTTTCACTTTGGTTCTAGGAATCTGAACTTTAGTCTTCATGCTAGCTTTAAGTGCTTTGCTCACTAAACCTTCTCCCCGTTCACCATAGTCTCAATGCATTTCCCCGACCCAGAATGCTTTTCAATTACTTTCAAAGCATGAGGCTTTATTTACTTGTAATATTTCTATTGCTACTCGTAATACATGAAGCATGATTGTTAAATGAAATTTCCTATTCTTCCTAACTTGTAGCCTTGGCCAATAACTAGTAGGACATTATGAACTTTGTCAAAACACTTGTTCAATAGCAATAATATATTTGATGTCACCTAAGAGAACTCTAGTCTTTATCCAACATGCACTTTCCACAAGACTCTTGTCAATCAATCCGTATGCCAGGTGGAGACAAACATTTTAACATTTAAAATGACTTATATTGAATAAGTATTTCAAAGATCACTTTTCCATAGATATGAGCTTGATGTTTTATCTCATATTAAATTTATATTCTTTTCACACACAAAGTGTGTAATTGAAATGTAGATATACAGAGAATTCTGTTAATTACATTTGAAGTAATTTAATTAATATAATTTAAGTAATATAATTTGTGCAGCAAATTATATATGTATCTCAAAATAAAACAGACCATTTTCCCCATTCTGTCTGATAGTATAAACCCTTAACTCGCTCTGTGTCTCTGTTTCTCTCTGTCTCTCTGTCTCTATCTATCTATCTATCTATCTATCTATCTATCTATCTATCTATCTATCATCTCTCTCTCTCTCTCCCTCTCTCTCTCTCCCTCTCTCCCTCTCTCCCTCTCTCCCTCTCTCGCTCTCTC